ATAATAATAATAATAACAATAATAATAATAATAATAATAATTAATAATAATAATAATAATAACCTGTGTTGATAACTAAATCCAGACCACAGTCCTCACAGAATAAATAACAGCTGAGTGGCCTGCAGTTTCCCAGCAGTGTTTGAATGCAGAGCGGCTCTGTGCTGCCTGGCTGACAGATGGGACTCGGGCGATGCTCACCCTCAGCTGGACTCCACTGGACTGGGGCTGCAGCCTTTACTGGCCTCCAGTTTACTCCATTAACGCAGCTCCTTTGACCCCCACTGCACCACCCACCCACCCACACACCCACCCACCACTGCTGGACGCACAATTTAGAGCTACAAAACTAAACGCCTCTGCCTCTGCTTTCCCTTTTACGCACAGGAAAAAAATGTGTTGAGTTTGATACAAAAGTGGCAAATGGAAACCATTCGGCTATGCTCTCTCGTCTGAAGCCAGGTACCCTCCATCCCCTCCCCTCTTTTTTTTCGTCAAGTATGATTTCAATACACAATAGGGGCTACACCTTGAAACTGCGTCGACTGGAGTCACAGTGCTGGGCATGTATCCTCGGAGAACACAACACAGGCTTATGTTCCTTTAGCTCTGGGGAAGGAAAAAATGTCCTGTCTTCCCCTCACTCATTTTCCATTTCTCAGATATTCACTGCAGATATTGTGTAAGTACTCACTGCAATCTATTATACATAAAACACCCACTATATCGTTTCATAGTCCAGTGATTTATATATAACCTTGGGGATAAATAAAAAGGATAAACAAGTCCTGGAGGAGCGGTCCAGCAGAGTTCATTGGACCGGGGTCTGGACCCCGTGGTGCGGCGGCGTGTCCCCGTACACATCCTCGCTCCCCGGCAGAGCTCCTCCGGGAGGGGTCATGCGTTTCTCCTTCTGTCTCCTGTTACAAAACCAAACCCTCACCACTTCTTTCTCCAGGTGCAGACTGTCCGCCAAGCTGATTATTTCCGACGCTGCCGGTTTAGGGCACTTCAAAAAATGGCTCTCCAAAGCTCCCTTTACGCTTACCTCGATTGAAGTCCGTTTTTTCCTTTTCCTCCCCTGCGCGGCGATTTTGTCCAGGCTGGTCGGGCTGCCCGAGGTGGAGTCCGCCTCCTCCAGCCACTTGTTCAACAGAGGCTTCAGCTTGCACATGTTTTTGAAGCTGAGCTGCAGGGCCTCAAACCTGCATATGGTGGTTTGGGAAAACACATTTCCGTACAGGGTCCCCAGGGCGAGTCCCACGTCCGCCTGCGTGAAGCCCAGCTTGATCCTCCGCTGTTTGAACTGCTTGGCGAACTGCTCCAGGTCGTCCGAAGTCGGCGTATCCTCGTCCGAGTGGTCGTGGTGGCTCTGCGGCCGGTGCTGGTGCTGATGCTGGGACGGAGGGTGGCCGTGTTCGCTGAGGTGCGGGCTGTGGTGGTCGTCATGACTGTCTCTTAGGTTGTGGTGGTGCATCCCCTGCCCGCTGCTCGGGATCAGCCCGTTCACGCTGAAGCCCGGCTGGGAGTAAATAAGGCTTTGGCCGTTCGTCGTCGCCATGCTTGGTATGTGCGCCGCGGTGGTGGTTCTCCATGCCCGGCCGTCGTGGTGGTTCCCGTGCGTCTGGTGCACCAGGTGGGGCGGCCGCGACTGGTGCTGAAGGTTGCTGCTGGAGTTGTGCATCTCGTCCCGGGCGCCCTGCACCGCGGGTTTGATGTCCTGCTCCGCGCCGAGCGGGCTGGAGGACCACGGGGCTCCCTCTCCGTGGGACAGCGCCGTGATCCACTGGTGTGCGTGGCTGAGCGTGTGGCTGTTGCTCTGCAGCGGGTAGTCGCTCTGCAACAGGCTCTGTGCGTCCCGGTACGCCGTGGCTTGCTGCATGCTGCCGGGCTCCGAGTGCACGATGGATGCGCTGGAGGTGAGGATGTTGTAGTGGTTAGACGCTGCGGTCGCCATGACTCTCGGAGCCGGACTGGTCGCTCTTATTAAAGGAACCTCGCATTTGACAGATCCTCTCCTGCCCACAGGCGGCTCCCAGGCGCTCTGCCAAGTCTACGCCGAGGCGCACCTGGACTCAGCCCCGCCCCCGCCCCTCATTGGACCTCAAAAGATGATGGACGTGGTTACCAAGGGCGACGGCGCGTTGATTGGCTGCGGGGAAGTCTCAACAAACACTACTCTCTTTGTTGGAGAGGTGCGAGTTGAGGCTCCCGTGGAAGCGGAGAGCCGGAGTGCAGCATGGGGAGACGGAGCACCGGGATCAGCAGTGCAACTGTAAGATACAGTTGATTTACTTTGATAATCATGTTGTAACAAGACTCAGGCTGTAGGTAGTCTAGTTCCAGGAGATCAGGATTCCCTCTGTTGGGAAGATTAATACAACAGCTCTGATGTGCAGGATGTGGAATTATTTATTGAAGTTAGACTTTAAAGTTTGTTGTTAATTGTTGACTGTTGTTAATTGTTGACGCGCACGTTGATGATGTAAAAAATTCTGTTATTGTGTGAAACATCTTGATATGATTAGACAACTTTTTCATCTAACCCAAGAGCTAGAATTCAGATTACACAGAAGCATATTCATGTAATCTGCATACGGCATATATAACAGGCTGCAGACTGGAGCTGTTAGAAAAATCACAGATGAGTGTTTTTCTGCAGTGTTGCAACACTTCTGATAAGACGTTGTAGGTGTATTCATATTAATCCGACTGTGTTATTTGTGCAGTGTTGTGTGTGTATGAAAGAAATGACTGAGCATTTGTGTCTTAGAAAATTGAGGGTCTCTGTATAGTCTATCAATCTACCATTACTTTAAAGTGAAGATAACACGAATGAAAACATGACATTTTAATGCACCTGTGAAACAAAGTAACAAAAATAATTGGAAATCTAATTTATTCTAACCGGGTTTAAAACATCTTGCATGTTGAAATAACGACAGATAGGAGACTGTCATCACGGTGTGTTTGAGATCTAAGACGTATAGTGCATTGTAGGAATAAAGCCATTTAAACTAGTTTGTTTTACTGGTATTACTAGTTTCTAAATTGAGATATATCACGAAGGAAAACGCTCAGACACGTTTCAATCAAATTGATTTTTATTTAAATCTTCCTTGTAATAAAACGTTAAAAAAAATTAGATTCAATTGTAGCTGAGTGAAATGGACCATGCTGGAGCTCATGCAGCTCTCTCATGTGTGCACCTGCTCTGTGTTGAGAACATACAGGTTAAAGTTTTACAGTCTGTTGGAGCAGTTTGTCATTTGAAAAACTGACAGCTACACTGAGGCTGTAAACATCAGTGTAAAGTCTCTTATTTTCCCTTTAGTGTGTACGAATCTTTTATAAATCCTGCTGTTCATGCCAGAATTATCTGAACTTTCTCAAACACCAATCGATGCTTGTAAAAGTGGAGACTAGTGTATTTTTTGTCCCCCCAGTGAAGAGTTGCAGTCTAAATGTGGACATCTTTCATATGTTTTGACTTATGAGAGACAGTCCCTTTAACAGTCCATAAAGTAAACAAATCAACTTTGGTGTCAAACCGGGCTGTAAAGTTAATTTTACAATCCAGTCTCAGTAGGAGTGGCTGCACACAGAAAAAGGAGGGTCCCTGGACTGAAGCTGAGGTTCTATATCATGAATGACTATAAAGACTTTTTTTTTTTTTTTAACATAAAAATAAGCTATTTAGTTCCAAAAATGTTCCTATAATAAATGAACTTTGGAAGATTTTGTGTCCTGCGCTGTGAAGGACCTGTTTGGGACCAACAGTACTGAGAGCCCTCCAGGATTCTTTACATCACCAAGAGATTTAGAAATTATTCTCTATGCAGCTATTTTAGAGCTAACTGTGAGAAAAACCTCTCTGGATGCTCATCGTCCACTAAAGTGAGGACAGACACAAGTGAAGAGGAGGATTAAGTCTAGACTCAGGCCTCCAGTCCGGGCTAGGGAGGGCAGGTTTCCATCCCGTCCCAGCTGTCGTCCCCCCGGTGTCAGCTTCAGGGACCAGGACTTTGTCCAGAGAGGGGACATTCCTGGCCGTCCGCTGCTGGTTGCCATAGGGAGAGGTAAATGAAACAACGGCAGTCGCGTCGCTGCACCCCCACCCCCCCTTTCCACCTCCACCCTGCTCCTGGACTATCTAAAGGCCTCTATTTAGAGAGGCTCTCTGCTGCGGGGACAAAGCCTTCGCTGGGATAAAGGAGGGAGGAGTAAAGAGCACAGGGCCCTGAGAGGGAGAAAGGGCTAGAAAAAGTGAAAAAGATGAGAGAGATTATGCCTGTCCTCAAAGCTGCTCCTCACACTCCAGTGAGATGAAGCAAACTGTGAGAAAAATTACAAACAAAACTTCAAATGCAGACTTCTGCAGGGCAGCAGTGTGTTTCTACTTTCCAACTTCTGAAGCAAACCCTTAATTCTGAATATTAGAAGGCATTAATAATTCCTACTGTATATATGCAATTAAAAGGCACTTTTAGTTAGTTTAAGACCTATAACAATTCAATCCACCAGAAATAAAGTAATACATACTGCCCACAAATTAAACCTATAAATCAGCGCAGACAGTTCTTCAATATCCACAATTTATAACTTCTAAACTATGCAAATGACTGAAACTGTAATTAAACATTTTCTTTAATAACTTGGACCGAGGAGTAAAATTAAAAGGCAATAAAAAAGCAGTTATTAAAGAAATATTTTCACCAAAAAATATTCAAACTGTGCAGTGAAAACAGAGAAGTCGACATGCTGAATATTCACACCCACCAATTCTTAGCAATGTTAATTTATTCCAAAAGTTCACACAGGGACACATGTCGTGTGTATAGACTGAGGTCTGAGCACAATACAGTGGCGTGTAACAAAGGGCAAGTGCTAATTGTAAGACGTTCTCTATTCTCTGCTTTTTATGACCTGGATTAATCTCACACACTGATTTAAGTCACAGCTTCTCTGTTTGTCTTGATGCTGCTTTAGTGGCCAAATAAAAACTCAATATATATATTCAATATATTCATACTTTAAAGGTGCATTGTATCACCCAAACATTTACATTTTTTCCCCCAAACATACAAAAATTTTACATATATGATATTACTCTAATTTGTAATTAACAGGCACGTGTTTTATTGCAGGGACAAACAGTAAACTATAGCAATTATAAGTCAGTCGTGCTTTCTGTGGTTGTTAGTCAGTTTTCATTAATAACACCTAAACATAAACAGTGATGTAAACCGGACCTATAGAATCAGCTGAGAATCAGACAAAATGCTTGTATTCCATGTATCACTCCAGCTCTTCAATTAAGTATTACTGATTGGGTCTTTAATGGATCTCATTTCATAGGCTAATAATCCTTTATGGATGTGAATCCAGCTGCACTGACAGCACACGAAGCCACCAGGATTTAAGTCATACGAGGAAAAGTTTCCAGGCACGGTTCAGTAATTCATTCTGGTAATATTGAACATTATTGTGGCGTAACATTGAAATCGGCCAAATCAAAAGAACATTGTGGTAATTAGGCTGTAATTCAAGGAATTACCACATCGCCACACAGGCTTAAATAGTCGTGTTGGGAGAAACGCAAAGCACATTATTTTAATGGTGTAATATGCAAACTATGGCTCGTTTCAATTACATGGCTTAACAATGCATAAATGATGCGAGCCTTGTTATTTGGACTGCAGGGTCCTCAGTAATTCAGTCGCTCAGAGGGGCCAATGTTAGGGGCCATGCTGCCTCCTCTCGTACTGTAGAAACCCAGCGCTGAGCGCTGAGGGCCGCTGCCACACTACATTTAAGGGAATAAAAATGAACAGCAGAGAATGTAAGCGTTAAATTAACAGTAGGATAATTATATGACCCGTGTGCTGTAAAGATTCAATTTCTAACGCTCTAATTAAGCGACTGTCTCCCCATACATCAGCTCACATCCCTCTGCCAATTTCTCACCAGAAAGCGTCCTGTGAGCGGAAATAATTAGATTTTATTAAGACACAGCTCGTGTAATAAAGAAAATCAAAGGAGGGGATGGTTAAATATGATATGTTTTTAAAATCATTGATTGGTCCACACACACAGTCCACTGAGACCCATTTAAAGACAGGGATAGTTGGATTTAAACTGGAGCAGAGAGACTGGGATGTGTCTGTGTGTCTGACTATATTAACCCATATAATGAACCATCTACTGTGCAGGGAAGACAGTAACTTGTGGTCCATGTCTAATAACTTTAACTGGGATTTTACAAAGCCCACTGGAAAATTACAGCATGTAGGGCGGCAGTTCATGTCGATTCCCATCATATATCAATCTGTCATTTATTCAGGAAATAGTGAAAATTTCCCAAGATAACATTTTTAAAGTCCCCATCCCCTCAAAAATGTTTTTTTTTACTTATAGTACCTTGATTTGGATGTTTGGTCGTCACTGTGCAGGATCACAAATGTGCAGAATTGACAGTACATGGCTTTTTTCACATTCATCTGCTGAAGGGGGAAAGTTTCTCTGAGCTCACCTTAAATCTCAGTTTAACACGCGTGTAAAAGCAGGATTTTGTGACGTCACGACTCGAGCCAATCACGGTCCAATACGCAACTTTACACAACTCCGCTGTGTAAACTTGAATCTTCAGTGTACACAGACTGAGAATGGACTTTTCAGTGAAGCAGGATCTTGTGCTGAGTAGTTGAAATATTTGCATTTTCATATTTTCCAATGAGGGAGAAAGGGTGGGTGTATGATTTTAAGAGAAGTCCGTCTGCAAAAACCACATCAGACACAAATTATCATTCCAAGCTGTTTTTTTTTTTTATATGTCCTAAAACATGTCCGGACAGGAATCAGCCCAAGGTGATTTCTTTAAATCGCTTATCTCTAAACAAAAAGTCCAAAAGTTAATTGATTATCAAAATACTTTAATTTCTTGTCGATTTACTTTGTTTCAGATCTCGGCCCTTA